TTCTGCGAATGTTTGAAATGTTCAGCGCGTTTTGTTGTCTTTTTTTTATTTATTTTTTTTCTCTCTTCCTGTTTTAGGGATCTCTCTTATTTTCTGCGCAGGTTATTGTTACCTTTTCTCTATTATGATCCTTTTTTAATTTAATCCTTTGTTCTCTTTCCCTATCCCACGGTCAGGTTTGGCATCAACCATCTAACTTCTGTAACAAAAATAAAGCTTAAATAAATAATAAAGCTGTATTGGATGATCAAGGGAGGCTTCTCACCCTGACAGGCCTCCCTTGGCAAAGCAAAAGTACAATTACAATTCTGTTGTCATAATGCTAAACCCAACAAGGGGTTGAAAAAAAGAAAAGAAATGTTCAGTGTGATGCAAAAGCTTTGGGTGATCCGATCAATATTTCTACCAGTGGAGATGAAAAACGAATGTTTTTCACCAACATTTTTCTCCCTCTTCCAGGTTCCGCTTAACACTTCCAATCTAACGTGGAGAAGGAACTGAAGCAACAGCGTGTTGCTCAACGCCCGCCTTTGTCACACATTGCAACACCGGCTTTTGAGCAGCCATGGAGCTTTTTTCCTGCTACCTGCAGGAGTAGGAGTATCTGCTGAGTATTCCAGATCCCCACCAGCTTATCTCCAGATAGTGGCCCCTTTACTTCCACAAATTAAGTTCTCTTAGTCATTGCAATACTGCGTAAAACTCAAATTTTTGGAATTAAAAAGGGCTTTTCCTCCGACTCTTTCACAGAGCTCCACCTCTCCAGAGCCAGATTTTTAGTTATTCATTTTTTGCTGTCAGATGTGGATTCTCATTTAGCATTTTGCAAAAGAAAAACTATCAAATTGATTCCTCAGTCCTCCATTCTTTTACAACAACAACAACAAATATTCTCGGGCTTTCCCAAAGCTTTAGAGGTATTTGGGAGCTACTCGTGTCCACGTCTGGTCACATTTGGCCCCAAGTTTGAATAGCCAAAGAACACACAAATCCTCATATTCATCTTTCATAATGACAATTTATTTTCATGCTGCATTTTGATATGTGTTTCTGCTCATCTTTCTTCTATTTTCCTATTCTCAGTGTCAGGAAAAATGGAGTTGGGGTACCCAAAAAAAGTCATATAGGGGGAATCATAAATGGTTTATATTCTGTTTTAAGTCAAAAAAGAAAAAACTAAAGATGGATTCATGTGGTTAAACTTAAATTATTTACACTCTCAACTGTTTTCTCCTCAAATGATTGATGAGTCAGTAATCAAGTTCCAGTTGAGAGGAAGAGACCACAACCATGTGAGTCATGTGATTGACTTTTTACTCCTTTGATGATAAAACAGTAACGGGACAGGAAGTGGAAAATCATCAAGCTATGATTTTGTTTTGGGATCTAAGAAAGAACGCGGCGAGTGTGTGTGTGTGTGTGTGTGTGTGTGTGTGTGTGTGTGTGTGTGTGTGAGTGTGTGCAGCTATGTAGGTCAGGGTGAGTGAGGGGATGGAACCGGCAGGTGTGTGTCAGATAGCAGCGAGCGAATTGGCCCGAGCGCCATAAAGGCCCTTTTTTTTTCTTTTTTTTTTCTTGGCGGAGCACCAGATTAGGGTTGTTGTTTTATGAACGAGGGTTAGGGAGAGGCCCGATAATTGACTCGGAACGGGGGAAAAAAGAAACAAACAGTGCACATCGGCTCCGAGCTCAAAGGTGGAGCTCCTTTGTGTTGACGTGTTTGCTTTAGATTTGGCCTCCTCAACCCCCCCCCAGAAGCCACTTGACACCCGTATCAAAGTGGCAAATGCATCGATTTAAA